TCTTTGGTCTTCGGTCTTTGATCTTAGTCTTTGGTTTTATTATCTTTGATCTTTAGTCATTGGTCTTCGGTTCTTGGTCTTGGGCCTTTGATCTTTGGTCTTCAGTTTTTTGTCTTCGATTTTTTTGTCTTTGGCCAAATTTGTAATACCAACCTTTAATTAATTAAACACCCTTTTTACTAAACAATTGCTAATCTTTTTTCTTTCATATCATTCCTTGTTTAATTAAAGAAGCAAACTGTTAATTGGGGGGCGAAGCCCCCATGATAAACTAAATGACCCCGCGGCTACCGGAATCGCGGGTCACCAACCAGTCCGCGGCTGCGACTCCCGCACCGAACATGCCAATTTTCATAAGGTCAATCCTTTTTTCGTGTGTGTGTAAGGAGACGGTTTGTGTGAGGAGCGGGTTTGTGTGAGAAGCGGCATGTACTTTGCGGCAGATGCTGACGTAGCCTTCGGCTAGCGTGCGTTTCGGTCGCCTGCGCGGCACTTCGTACTAAAATTGGAAATCTTTTTTCGGAGGAGATATCGGAGCGGACGTGTGTGAGGAGCGTGCGTGTGTAAGGAGCGGCGGATTTCAAAGGTCAATTCTGTCTTACTTCTTGGTTTTAATGGTCTTAGTTCCATTATATAATTTGTTTTATGGTTTTACAATATAATTTCATAGGTCTTACAATAATAATTTGTTTTATGGTATTTACTATATAAAATTTTAAAATTCATGTATTGTAATTCATTTTATCGTCTTGTTATATAATTTTTAAAGGTCGTGTAGTATGTTTTATATGGTCTTATTGTATTATTCAAAATTATATTAAGTAAGAAATTAGAACTAAAATAAAAAGAAATAAATTGCAAAAAGAATATTTATATTGTCTCATTTTATAATTTAAAATTAGATTAAGTAAGAAATTGGAACTACATTGAAAATAAATAAATTGCACAAAAAAACAAATGAAATTTTCCATTATTAACTAATCAAAATAGAGGTTAAGTTATATATAGATAAATGTACAATATCACAATTTAAAAAAATTCACTAAACCAAAAAAAAAAAAAAGATTCTTATGTTCACCATAAATATTACAAAGTCATAATATTTTTAAAAAATAATAATAATGAACACAAAATTGGCTTGGTCTTTGTGACGAGCGAGCAAAGACCAGAGTGACGAGCGAGGGTGCGTGAGAAGTAAAGGCCAGAGACTAAATGCGAAAGACCAAAAACCGAACACCAAAGAGCAACAAAGAAGACCAGAGCGTCTTTTCGAAAGACCAAGCCAATTTCATAAATTTTTTAAACTTTCAAAAAACATATTTATGATAGATTTTGTTGGATAGATCTCATTGAGTACTATCAAAATGATAAGAAATTTGGTCTAATTCATTACCGATTAAGAAATAAAATAATTTGAAGATTAAAGAAAATTTTAAAACCCATTTCCTTAAATTAAGGAGGAGTGGTGCGTGTGTTTCACCTAACTCATGAACACTTGCATGTTTAGGCCTCCTTTCCTGTACTAATTACTAAGTAAGGGTGTATGTGTACTTAGCTACATGCACTTAATGTGCATAGTATAATTTTCGGGTTAATTGTTTATCTTCTCATGCATGCTGTTTGTTCATCCATAACCAAGAAATTTTTCGACTTCGAAGAAGATGGACAAAAAAGAGCAATCGCTAGTCTTGAAGGAGTTGTGTTGCATCAGGAAGATCTTGCAAATGCTGATGTTTATATGGCTAGTGATGATGCTAGGTTTATGAGTGGGCATGATCTTATGTTGGATGGTGGTTTTACTGTTACCAATCCTTCGTTCGGGTTATTTTCTAGATTTGCCTGACTGCTTGGATTAAATTAATTTTTAGGGGAAAGAAATCAGGATCGATAGTGTAGTATGTGTTGATGAGTGATAATGAATTAATTCTTGTAGCAAACCTATTCTTATTTCTTAATATAAATACAAGAAATGTAATTAACATGATTTACTGATGTCATATTTACATCATTACTCGTGAAATTATTTCTCACACATATACTTTTTAGATAAAACTCATTTGTAATTTTTTCCTTGTATATTTTCCCTTGACTAACCCCTTGTACGAAACTAATTATTGTACTAAAAATGAACATTTAAACTGGGTAATCACTTTTTTTTTTTAACCATTACTTTAGAATAGAGAGAGTCTCATGTTACAAATTACGAATTGTACTTTTCGTTTTGGTGGTGTACTTCAATATGTGTGCTTGGAGGTTTGCATTTTCAAAGTTCCTTAGGAGGTCAAAACAACGGAGTTGTTGCTGTTATAATTAACATTAGAGCTGATGTATGTGATTTAATCAGCTGATTGAAAGATGATAATGACGTAATTAGTAAACTGTGAACGATCATTTGATTCGCTCTAGCTCACAGTGTACAACTTATATATATATATATATAGGATAAAAGAAATATATAGTACTACCCAAAGAGAAATATTTTCACTTAGAAACTTTGGGACGAAACACCAACACTTTTATTGTTTAGGTCAAAACTACGGATTTACCTAAATCAGATACAAAAGAATCAATTTACCCTAATATGACTTAAACTTTTGATTCCGATCGACTACCTATCAAGATTTCTCATTTTATTTATTCTTATTTTTCCTTTAGGTCATTCTTTAATTCTCTTTATTCTAATATTACAGTATATCTATTGTAAACCAAAATAATAACTAGAGTATGTTAGATAATTTTTTAGACGGGTTTTATTTAATATTACATTGTCAGACCTATTCGTTCTTCATCATGTTTTTTTTTCTCCTTCGGGTTCATATTACCACCATCATAACTTAATTTATTTTCATTCAACTGGAAACATTAAAGAGAATCACCTTGTGGAAATTTGCTCGATTAAATTACTAAATTAGAAAAATCTAAAATCTGGAAATATTCAAAATTCAAATGTTGATGATCACTTTGACAACCTACTATATTAATAAGGCGGTATCCATAAAAATACATATCAATAAATTTTTATAATTTAGATACATATCAATAAATTTAGATTTCTATAGGGAATATAATTTATTCATTAACCTTCGAGAATTCAGTTTTTTTTTTCCGCAAAGTCTTTAAATACTATGTTACCCGTAAGTAAAATTTATTTTAAATGATTCAAGCATTTGGCCAGAATGAGAGTTCTCTATGAATTTTGTCTAAGTGGCTTGAAATGTTGACGGAGGCTTTTAAACTACGAATGAAAGAGGCTGAAATTCATAATTTATTAATTAACCATTTACAGTAAAAATTCTCTAAACTAATACTCTTGGGCCCCGAAAATTTATTGGTGTCATATGATTTTACATAAGTTCGTCACATCTTCTTAGTTTTCATTTTTCAAAATAGATTTTCTTCCTTCAGCCATGTTGTTAGATTTTGACCAAGATTCAAGCAATGTTTTGAATGATTCGATCAAGCTTTGTCATAATTTAGGAAGATTTTAAGGCTGTGAAGAAATTAATGCAATGTGAATACACAGTCAACTATAATACATAGAAGACGTGGTTTAATCTCTCTGTAGGATTCAGGTTAAATAAAAGATTAAAATACTCACGTTGAAGGAGGAAAATCCATACCAAAATTATTGTTTTGAATTTTTAATTTAATTTAAATTATATTAAAAGTAAAAATTCAAATTGGGTAATCATTTTTTGACGGAGGGAAAAATTAGTTAAGGCAGAAACCCCATGCAATAAGTCAACGGTCACCCATGCCAAAGAAAACATGCAAGACACAGATCTTTTGGGATAGAAGTAAAATCTCAAACTGGACAATAATTTTGGGGCAGAGAGAGTATGTGCAATAGAGAGTGTAAAATTTACTTCCTTTCATAAAGGTCTAAGAGCCTCCAAAGGGAATCAAATAATAATCCCTGAAAGCTTCAAAAGAAGTGGGTCAAAGGATTTTTTTGAGCCTTATTCAACAACCAAAGCGAAGTCCAAAGTCTTGCTGGGCCGGCCAAGAAGCCCAGACCTATCAGTAATTATGATTTCAATCAAACATGAATTTTTATTTTTAGTTTTTTAACAGTAAACAAATATTTTGCATTTCATTCATCCAGATCATTTACAACGCCTATTTGTACATCATTTATAATTGTACAGTCTGCGGAAAATTATCATACAACCATTCATTTCTAAAGCTAGTTTGGCTGTTATACGTGCAACTTTATTACAAGACCTTTTTACATAATTAATTTCAACGCTAGCACAGTTTTTCAATCAAACATGAATTTTGAAATTGCCAAAAGCATGGTTCGTGTGCGGAATTTAGGTTATTCAAGTTTTAATATATGCAATATTGATTAAATCAATTATGTTATTCTATCTTAAGAGCTTGTCATCTTTATATATATTTTTATATAACAAACTGAACGATCATTTTAGGAAAAAAAAAAAAAAACAAAAAACAACAACAACAAAAAATATGCAATGCTGCATTTTTGTTTTTGCGTACAAAAGTTCTCAAAAATCTAAACCATTAAACAGCAGGAACTAAAACGCCCTCTTTTGTTTTTGCGTCAAATTTTTGTACAACATTGAGTTTTTGGTTCCTGGTTTTCTTTAGGGGAACGTTGACTTGATGTGAACCCTTACGAACTAATTGAATTTCAATTAAATTTCCAAATTCTGTAAAATGTTAGAATGTGATATCAATGAGTCAAATTTAGGGAGATGAGTTGTTAAATGGGTTGATTACTTATAAATTTAATGACGAACTCATTTCACACTTCCACAACCTCATAAAATTCAATAAATTTACTCGGACTGTCTCAAAATAAGACTCATGATGATTGTCATGTCAAACTATTTATACTCCATCCAGTGATATTTGATTTATCATAAACTTCGTCTTTACAATCATTGTGTTCTTCTAATTATTAAAAAATATTTTTTAAATTTTCTTTTTCGATTGAAAAAACATACCAGGTTAAAGTTAAGATAAATTAAAATGTCTTATAATAAGGTCTGGAAGAAATATTAATTGAAAAAAATACAATAAACAAAACTCATTTTGGAGCGGCACAACTTGACACACCCAATCGTTAGTGGCGAATACCCATTGCAGATTAAAAATGCATAAAAGCATGATGCAATATGGCAAAAACCAAGTGGCAAAAGATTCTGGTTACTTTAAAACCCGCATCATTGCTTGCATTTTCATTTGGCAATTATAAGGCAATTGCTCTTGCTCAAGGAAATGAGAGAACTAGAAATGAACCTAATAAGTTACAAAAATTTAAAATTCCTAAAGGGGCGAAGAGGGAAAAACAATCTAACTAGATACATATTTCATTTTTACACACTCTAAGCCCATCAAACCACCTTTCATTTCCCCTAACATTTTGTTAAGAAAGTTGTCAGTATTTTTTGTTTACCGAAGAATTTGTCAGGTCTTTAGTTCCCAAAGATCAACTGATCCTTTCCCCAAGCTTCTTTCATCTGTATCGCGTTGGTTCTGAGGCTATTTTCCATGGCCTGCATTGAAGATGAACCAGTTATACACATTCAAAACGGCATCAATCAAATTGTGCCATGCAGAAATAAGGCAAAAAATAGAAAGGCAGATCACGAAGACTGTGACACCAGAGTTGCATTATCCAACTTAAGACAATTGTAGATGATTTGGAATTAAGATCAATTTAACAACACATTGAAAATGCTATATGCTGACATCATTGAACATTTCGGTCATTCTTACCTGCATTGCTCCATTCGACACTAAGAGAGCTTCACATTCGTCAAGCATGGCTCTTTCTTGAGATGTAACATCAGCAAGTTCAGAAATAAGGGAGTTCATTTCCTCCACCTAGAATCAACAACAATGGATGTTCAAATCTGTAAACGTAATTGTTTTGAAGTTAATCAGCACCATATCTAAAATGTAAGTTCCCGATTCTTAAATTAGGTGTATTCACTATACTGTAATGTTGATCTAATTTTAGGGGGCATTCCTCAAGAACTGAGAAGGTTCCTGAAAGTTCTGATTAAAAGTAAAATGCACAACAATGGACATAACGCTCAAAAGAGTATGGATCTTCAGATAAATAAGGTGTATCAAACACACAGCAGCTCAGGAGCTGCCAGTGAGCTAAATGACATTCTCACATAGTGCCCAATTTTTAAAATTTTATAACAGTCGGAAATCTGGTCATAACACCCTTATGAAATAAACAAGCTCAATGGTTTGTCGATAATCCGTACAAGGTATCTCTTTTAAGCTTCAATCACATGAATGTATCAGACACTCTCCACCTTTCATCCTTAAGAAAAGACTCCTACTTCATCTAACAATACTTGGGTAAAAACTTTGCTGCAGAATCAAATATATAGTTACTACAGACAAAGTTTCTCATGTTGTGATGCTCAAAATATTAGATCTAAATGGAAACACGAGGGAGATTATGCTATCAAGACCGTTGATATCCTTAAAACCCTGAACTACAGTTTTAATCAAGGAAGATCAGCCTATGCAAAATACAGAGCAGAGATCCTCTAAACTGAGCCTGTGACAGCCTATGGTGCAGATGAAATGGAAGAACATACCTCTGTGAGCACATGACATATGGAGGAACCCATTGCCTGCATGACATCAACGGCTGAAGAAACAGCTGCCTTTACGCTTTGAATATCTACCTGCAAAATTATATACATGTCAATCTATGATCATTCATTAATCAGTCTTGGTAAATAGTCAACTGCATACCCTTGCCCCTCCAGTGACTGGGAGACGGAGAGTGCTTGTCTGCAGATCTCTGATAATCTGGGATAATGAATCAGCATGATCACCATCAATCAGTGACCATTCGTCAAGGTATGCCAGCTGAAAAGGCAATTCATTCTATAAGTCAAAATGAAAGTGCGCTCAAAGAATAACATTCAAGATAATCAAAGAAATATGCTTTAAAAAAAAAAAAAAAAAAAAAAGTAGCTCACAGTGGTAGATTATGGTACAACACTAGTGTGACAAACAACAACCAATAAATGCATAAACCAAAAGATGAAAAAGATTAGGGAAAAAGAAGAAAGCAGATGTCATAATAGAGTCAACTGAAATGGTGCTTAGCACATCCAAATTCGAACTAGGAGGGGAAGGTTATGACGTAGTTGTACTCGGGGCAGATGCTAAACAAGTCATTCAGTTGCATTTGAAATGCATCAATCAAATGCATAGCTTTTTTCCTGACGTAATATTATGGTAAACAGAGGACATGGACACTTTCTTCCATGATGATTGAGAGGTAATACAATATATGACACCTCTACAACAGCGCCACTTAAGCTCGCTCACCCTGCCTGTCCCCACCCCCAAGCCCACACCCCCCTCTTTGAAATTGGAGATTTCAGTATCTTTATTATGAATGTAAATGTTAAGCAGGATTCACGAGGACTTCAAAGCCAAACTTGACTAGACGTTCCAAGTGGAGCAAAGATAGAAAGAATAACAATCATGTCAGAACAGTTGGCAATGTACTCGAAATGAAGACCGTTTAATATTGGATTCCTATTTTTAAATGTGCATTGTCCTCGGTCCAACTTATTTACTGCAACGAACATATCCTTATCCATGTCGAGCCCCAACCGACTCAATTCTTGGTCAGAAACAACAAAATATATCTCCCCACTAATTCCTAATGCCATATCTTCCTGAAGTTAATCAATAGAAAATAGAAACAAAGATTTAAAAAATAAAGTCATCATCAGATTCAACAAGTGGAAAGAGAGAATGGAAATGGCTTTTGTTGAAAGAAAAGTATTTCACCATAGCCAACACAGACCATTTATCACTCAAATGACAATTACATGGGCAGAACACATATGTGCAATCTACTTGTCAAGCATGAAATGTGGAAATATGGCTGCGTAAAACATATAACCAAAAGCTGACAGCGAACCAATACATTCCTGTGCCTTTAGTTACTGAAAAAGAACAGCAAACTACAGTTGATTCAGTCAATTGTAGCATCTGCACCAGTAACATTTTCAACTCTGATGCTCAAGAAGCAGTAGATCTCATTCTACAGCAACAACGAGAAGAGTTGTAGCACAAAAATCAGGTAGACCAATTTTTTACTTGTAGCTAACCTTAAGATAAATTATATGGCTAACAAACTCAAACTTAAAAATAAATATCCAGGAGCAAGGTTTAAATTTATAAATGCATTGGGGTGATTTCCTTAATGGAAGTATATATTTACAGCTAGCTAATGTCAAGCATCATATGTATAAGGCTGATATAGAAAGAGTCTTGTGATGGCAATATTAGATGCAAACAATTCAATAAAGAGTCCACAGGGTGATGCCAACCTGGTAGTTCAAAACTCTGAATAGCTTTAACTTCAACATTAGCTGTTGGAGTTGTGTCCTCTTCTCCATTATGGACTGTCTCAAATCTGATATAATTCTCCAGACTCCATTTAGAGTTAGCTGCATCAGCAAGTTTCTTAATCAGCATTCAGAATCTGTACTTTGCATTTATGCTCAAAGCATGATGCCGAAAAATGAACAAGTGAAATGAAAGAGTGAATGAAGCACTTCTAACTTAAGAGCCTTAGACAGGCTTAATGTTAACTGTACATATAGTGATGGATGATTGCCACTCAAACCACTAAATACTAAGCAACAATGAGAATAGCAACAAAAATCTTATCCATATGACATACACAAAAAAACACAGATGAAGCAAGTTATTCATCCAAAAGCAGTAAAAAAAACCTAGCAATCAGCTCTCAAATACGAAGAACCAGTTAATTAGTTCGGCACTCTGGAAAACAGTTCATCAGGCTATCAATTAATTGAACATATAATCCAAAAAATGTAATTTCTCAAACCTCTGCCTGTTCCTCCTGAGATTGAAGAGCAACCTCTGCTCGAGCATTAGCAAATCTCCATTGCAATTGTCTATTGTACAGAAGCCGCAGTTGGTGAACATCTTCTATGTGATTTGCAGTCTTCTTTCCCTTTTTAATATCTACTATGTAGCTAAGAACAGAAGTTGGATTACTGGATTGTCTTAATGGACTTGAGGTTCTTGACCGCGAGGGACTAGGCCCCCTTGATGGAACAGTAGTGCTTGTTTTTGTTCTCAATGGACTGGCTGCTCGAGAAACAGAGGACAATGATGCTGATGCTCTATTTGGTGATGCAGGGCGGGAACCATGGACAGGTAAGGACTGAGATCGAACTGCAGGATTCAATAATCTTGTTGTATCCAACGAAGCTGAAGAGGCGGACTTATTCAGTTCCAGTGAATTATCGTCAACTGAACTTTGCTTTCCACCTTGGTCAGCTGTTACTTGCGCCAATAAGTCACTGGCAGATTTTTGCAAGGGTTTAGTCATGCCATCCAATGACCATCTCCTCAATGAAGGTATACCTGATCCTGAATGTGGCAAAGATGGGATTCTGCTTACCTTATCACCAAGATCAATGCTTTTATTTGTTGAACTGGATGATATTTTTCCACCTGTTCTACTTGGCCATCGATGCTGTTCCACTAATCGAGAATGTACACCTTCAACTGGTCTAAAATTCTCAGACTGATCAGAAGAATTTTTCCCTTTGAGAGGACTCCTCTTTCTTTCAGGTGTAGACTTTCTTGAAGCAGAGGTAATTTCACTCTGCTTACGTGCTACATTTGATGATGGCCTCAAAGTTCGATCGGTGAGAACATGAGTTACGGCTTTTTCTCTCTTACTAATAGGCAGAGAGAAACTATCCGACTGGAAAGAAACATTTAGGCTCCTCATTGTAGAGGGCCATAAAGACTCAGGCATCCTACTACTAGCAACTACCTTCTTTGATCCACCAAGCATTTCCGTTGATGTGTCCTGGACTGGGGTCGACGGAGATGGACTTGGTGGTGAAGGCGGCGTTGAGGGCCGCCTCCTTTCGGCAGATATAGCTCTCTTCGGATTAGATACATTTGATGTTGTTGTTCTTGTGACTGTTGGAGAAGGGAAGCGCCTAGGACCTGAAGATGCAACTGGTGTAGGCGACTTATACCTAGAACTAACTTCCCTTGTTCTAGACCTTCGAGTAGTAGTTCCATTGTTCTTCTCAGCTGGACCCAATGGCGGTCTTGGGGTCTCTACTGTTGATTGTTTCTGTAATGAGTGCTGCTGCAATTCATATAAATCCATCAAATTTTGTCCAAATTAGACCACATTGGAGCACCCTTTCAAAAACTCATATCTCAAAGGCTTTATAAACCCCGCATTAAGCTTATATTATATTGCTCCAATGACTTTCAAAGACAATTCTTTTCTCTGCTGGAAATCTGCACCAAAATCAAGCAGCAAAAGTAAGATACTACAGATAGGAAAAAAAAAAAAGAAAAGAAAGAATACCGCGTGAACGATAATAAAGAGAAAAAGAACATCAAAAGTATACATCTTTACAGAAACTCGGATCTGAATACCAAAGAATTTGATTCTGCCAGGAAATCAATGCAGAAAGGGCATCCCGTGGTTGTAAATGATCAACCCAGGAAAAGATATCAAACAAAGGGAGAGTGATCAAAGAAAGTTCCCAAATTCAGTAATGCAAAAATGAAGTTTTCGTCTACCTTAACAACAATGCGGGATAGAAACTGTACAGTCAAAGACTAAACAGTGTTTCAAAATGTGACGCTTATAAACAAAATGGCAAGAACAAAAGCAGATTAGTTAAACCCTTCCCTCCAAAAATTAGGAAGAAAAGAAAGAAAGGGCGAGAAAAGGAGGAGATAGGCAGCATAAAAACAAATGCAGATTATGTTGGACTGGAATTTTGGATAATAATGAACATTGAATAGTTTTTTGCTTCCCTCTTTCCTTTTCTCTTTTTCTTTTTCTCCTCTCTCCCTCCACTTTTTCCCCATAACTTGTTTCTTTATTCATCCCCCATTTCATTTTTTTGGCCCCCCACCTTTTGTCCCTCTCACGGGACTGCCATGGTCCTCCTGGCTGGACATAAACAACACACACACACTAAAGATACTCTCTCTCCCTACAAGCTCTTCTGTCCTGTTTCTTCTTCACCCACCAATTTCCCTTTCTTGAATTGAGACTGAAAATTACAACAAGCTAATCTATGCCATAAATTCAATACCATACCTTTGCCTAATGTCCCTTGATGTCAACTGGGTTTTTCCCAAATTGACTTCAGCTTTCAACCCCTTTCACATCTATAATAATAACAACTAATAATATCCCAAAGACAAATTGCTACAGAACATGTTTAATAGCAATCGGATTTGTCCTTTTGCAGAACATAAATTTTAAATAACAATAAATAATAAACCGCCGAATGATGAACAATTAATGAAGCATATATAATTGCATAGTTATGGGAACAGATACTGAGGACCACGTGCATGTGAAGATCATTGTCCATCCCCAGAAATTTACACAGCCTCATAATTATTCACAGAGATTAAAAAAAAAACCATAAATGAGCAGAATTTCAAAATTCAAAAGTAAATAAATTCTACCACAACATCGGTACAAGGAAAGAATGATTAGATAATAATTTCTTGTTTGACTATTTGAAGGTAACAGATTCTCCGGAACATTGCCCGATGAACATATTGCAAAATAATTCCAAAAAAGAACTGTAAAATGTTGGAAATAATTATGAAAAGAAATCTGGGTATTGTCAGCCTTTGTTCCTAGCATTGAAAACATGCGGTGTGTTCACAATGTCAACTGATAGTCATAGTCATATGATTTTTCAAAATCAAATTTCGCCCACAAAACAAAAACAGAGAAATAATGGGTTTAGTAATCATCAATCTAAAAGTTCAGAGCGAAAGAAAAAAAAAAAAAAAACCCTAAAAGAACAGAAAGGAACAAACTTTTCCACATTCAGGATGGGAATTTCGGCGTAGCAGTTAAACTGCCCCCGATATTCATCCATTTAGACATATTTACAAACACAAGAGAAACTAACCCGTTATTCGGCTAGAGTTCAATAAAGGGACGCCGCCGGCGAAAAGGGTCGTCGGAGAATCGTCTAGAAAAGAATTCCTGATGGGTATAAGAATCTAAAAAATTGACCAAGTATGTCGGAAAGTTTCAAATTTTGAACTGGTTGACGAGGAGAAGTTTTTAAAAAACCTTACCTCACATCGATTTACGAGGAGTGACGAGGATACGAATATTAAATTAATAAGGAATTAAATAGATGTCTGAAAGAAATCAAATTGGAAAAAAAAAATAAAGAAAAAGGAAATTTACAGTTAAAAAGGTGAAGTTTCTTTGGGAAGTTGAGAATGCCCAAATGAAGAAGAAGAGAAAGAAGAACAAGAAGACGGGGGACGTTATTTTCGCGCCACCTACTTGCTGATTAGTATGCGCACGTTAGCAGTTACTATATTTTTTCCTTTTATTTTCTTTTTAGATTTGTTCCTATTTCATTTTTATTTTCTATTTTAATAAGTAGTTTTATTTGTGTGTTTTCGCTTTCGACCAATTGTCTTTACGTAATTTTGTTGGCCAGGTCTTTTACGTGCTATGAAGGGAACTCTTGATTTTCTATTCTTGTTTGTATCTTCGGAAATTTTTTTGAATGCTATAATTGATCATTAATCTTTCTTTCTTAAAATAAAAATTTTTTGTAATAACAAAGTATACAACTATACAGTTAGCACTTAGCACCTTTAGATCAAAGAAGATTTGCAAAATAATATAAATCAGATTATCGTTTCAAAATTTTCTTTATTTGAATCTAATAGTTTTCACCACTAATTAAGTCTTGACATCTCATACCGCACATTTAATATCAAACAAATATCCTTTCGCCTCAAAATTATTTTCTAATGTAAACTTTCATTGTTATTCAAATTAAAGTAAAATCTCAAACTGAAAAATAATTTTAAGAAAGAGGGAATATAAAACAAATCGAATAACCACTTCAAGGATCATTGGTTATTCAAAGTTCCATAATCCTTCTCATGTCAACAAACATGACCTATTCAAAGTTCCATAATCCTTTTCATGTCAACAAACATGACCATGTAATAAACAACATCTGAGAGTGAGAGATTGAATTGATTTTTCTCTCCTTACTCAAAACCCACTAGGATTCCCCCTCTATGTCGCTCAAAATCGATTATCGTATTTCTATTTCCATTAGGAATGGTTTTAATCTAGAATATGAAGGGAAAATATGTCTAGAATAGTAAAATATGGATTCTTGAAAATTCAAAATAAAAATAGTATTAGATTTTCTTAATGGGTGAACTTCGTTTTACTCTCAAGTTTTGACCTAATCGATAAGAAACCTCCTGAATTTTGGTAATATATATTATCGTTTATCCATGAGCAGGGATCAAACATTAAAAAACAGGTTAATTAACAAATATTATTTTATTTCAAGAAACAGTTTTAGAATTAAGCATTAATTTTAAAAAGTTATTATTTAAGTGTGTTAATATAAAAATAATTAATATGGAGTACCTTTTTAACTTAATTTATGATATACTATAAAAAATTATATTGTAGAATTTAAAAAAATAAGGATTGAAGGGTATTTTCAACTGTTTACACCAGATTAATGATGGTATTAATATGTTAAGGGGAATTTAGTAGGTTGACTATAAGTCAATAGAGTATATAGTAGTATGCCCAAAATTTGGGAGATTTGTGATAAAATGAGTCAAAACTCGGGTTAAAATGTTGTTCACCTTTTCTATTAATTATATAGGGCATGTTTGGATAAATGATTTGATTTGTGTCTTTTGCGTTTTGTATGGATCACCCAAAGTTTCAACTCTTTTTTTTTTCCATGAAAAGATTATTTGCAATACCGCTACGAAAATTCTTACATATTTCGGGTATCTCTATTGCAATTAAAAAAGAAATTCATAATTTAGAAAGATCTTAGGATACCATCTGACGGCATTCTATTCATTAATTTCGATTCCTACGAAGTTGAGATGAGATTGTGTACTTTAGATCAAAACAGCGCAAAAATGTCTATTTTATATACATATATATCTTACTATATTAGAAACAAAAACCACACTTAAGAGAAAGCACCATTATTGGCCATGTGGTATTTCCACATCATATTTTTAAAATAAATTTTTATTACCACATCTCCTAAATTTAAAAGGCAAATGCAGTCTAAATTCACTTCCACCTCCTATTTTCGTCAAAACAAACAAAAAATAATCACGGGTTCATAAAAAACCCAAATCCTCATCCTCATCTCCACGACAATCGACTCCTTAATCAATCCCTTCTCCACAATTAAAAAAAAAAACAAATTCCTCATCAATCATCAATTGAGAATATGTGGTGAAATATACTCCTTTTCTATTAGCATATTCAATCTTTTCATTAGTGGTGATCAACTACATCTTAATTGGATAAAATTTTAACTTAGGCAAATGCAGTCGAAATTCATTTCCACTTCCTATTTTCGTCAAAACAAACCAAAAAAAAATCACGGGTTCATAAAAAACCCAAATCCTCATCCCCATCTCCACGACAATCGACTCCTTAATCAATCCCTTCTCCACAATTAGAAAAAAAACAAATTCCTCATCAATCATCAATTGAGAATATGTGGTGAAATATACTCCTTTTCTATTAGCATATTCAATCTTTTCATTAGTGATGATCAACTACATCTTAATCGGATAAAATTTCAACTTCAAAAAATATTCTCTTTACCTCTTTATATAAACACAAAGGAAAAAAAAAATTCTCATTGATCTTGCTTCGGCCGTTGTGGTGGTGCCATTACAGGTATTAAAATTTAAATGATTTTATTTCCACAAATCATTGGTTTGGCTCTTATTATTTTTCGTTTTTCCCTTTCAAGAATAGTGTTATTACTATTATTTTTATGCGCCCATCCGTTACAGCTACCGTAGCCATTGTCAAGTAGTATGATGTGATTTCTTATTTGGTTAGTTAGCCTAGAAATTTTGTATGATTTTAGTTATGTTTGGATTGAATTGATTGATTGGGTTTTTGTTACAAAGTGTGGTTTTTTAAATTTGTTTTTTATGTTTCATTCAATTAGAGTGATTTTCTTTTTTTTTAATTTGGAGTCTCAGGTTTTTTTTCGTATATGGCCAATTATGAAGTGTGTTTTTTCTTTGTTTAATTACTTTTGATTTTGTTTCATACTCCCAGTTGACCAATTATTATTATTATTATTATTATTATTATTATTTTATTTGCAAATGAAGTACGTTTCTTTTTTTGTGTTCAGGATTTCAAGAATATACTTTTTTGGATTTGGTTTTTAGACTTTTTTTAGTTCCTCATCATATAAATAGTTCAGGTCGCTTCTTTTAATTAATTTATAGAGAATCCTTTTATGAATTTGAGGTGGAGAGGGAAGGAATTATGTTTCTATGTTTATTTGTGTTTTTACACATTATTTTTATCTACAGAAAAAAATAAAAATTCTCAAATTTTAAAGGGCTATCTTTTACTTTTTTTTTATTTGTCATCATTAGGTGAGTTCTTTTTTGCTATATCTTGAAACCTATGCAAATTTATATTATTTTCATTCTCATATTTGTGATCAGTCAGTTTCAACAATTAACCAGTTTCAAAATCATATTTTTGATATTTTACTACTTGTAAAATTTTGGAAGAAATAGTTTCAACAATTAAGCGTATACCCTTTGGAAGAAGCTAACTACAAAGCTATTATAAATCTCCAAAACTAAGTATTGATTTGGCACAACCAATGGAGAAAATCAATAAATTATCTTACTAATATTTAAACTTATTAGGATGCTTTTATATTTTGTCTACCATTTACTTCAAGACATATATTTGATCAAGTTTATTTATATTTAAGAAGTAACACTTATAAAATATTTCTAAAATCTTCAAACATTTCGAAAACGTACCGGGCCAAATACAATTTATTTTTTTGCCAAATACAAACATCACACTTATAAAACATTTCTAAAATTTTTTAAATATTTCTAAAATATATCGGGCCAAATAGAAAATATTTTTTTTTCCAGATATAAACATTTCTAAGATCTACAGATATATTGGGTCAGGATCGCGCAATGCGCGACCAGACATCACTAGTATATATATATATATTAAAGTATTATTGAGTATCCGTATTTAAATCTCAAGCTTGCGGACCACTTCCATAAAAATACTTTATTTCTGATTAGTTCATTTGGGCGTACAGGAATTAATCTCATCATTAAAATGCATAGGACCCAATTGCCATTTTTTTTTTTTTTTGAGATAAAAGGAACTTTTTTTTTTCGGATAAAAGAAACTTTACCCAACTGCCATTTATCATTATGGGCATTCTCTTGTATATTTCAAATTGTAACTACTACTTTGTCTTGTTTTAAAATCATTATCTTACTTAGTGTACTGTTTATTATTTTGAGATGGACAGAAATTTAATTAGTGTAAAGATCAAACAAATTATGATACGACCACTGAGCAAAATGTATGTGTTGTTCCCCTCCCAAGTCACAATGATTCATTTCGTACATATGTAGTGAGGATTCATCATGCTTTTCCCATCTTTTTTCATTCATTCACTCACATTATGTGAATTATTAATTGCTATATATTTTCTGGTAATCAGTAAATATATCAACTTTCGAATCAACCAAACTTGGATGTTGCGCAACAACAGCTTGCGAAACAGTAAAAAAATTGAAGAACAAACGATTCATTGTTTTAATTCTAGATTTCCAATTTTTTTTTTAAAAAAACAAATACAATGCGCATTATATTAACTAAATAAAGATAATCCGTCTTACACATGTAACACTCAAGAGGGACTTTAGAGCAAGAACACTTTGTCGTGCATTAACCACATAGTTTTCGAACTTGATTTCTTTGGATGCTTGATTTAAGATCTCATGATAACTGAGATTGTGATCAGAATTCAGCAAGTTTGCCGTGTGAATTTTCCTTATATATGTATCATTGTTGTTATGGTTCATAGTTCATACTATTTGTGATTGGTGAAGCATGGATCTGCAGGGTGCTTTATGACGGGCAGCGACGATGATCTAGGCGACGGCACACGGCCTAAAACCTATAAAACAGAGTCTCGGGTGTCTTTCGAGGATAGACTCTATGATGCTTAAGTCAATAAGGGAATAGAGAGAATAGAGAGAGAGGTGGTTGTGGGTGTGTATAAGGTGTAAAAGATAAATAGAAGAAGTGTATCATGGGAGAGGCGCCGCCTCTTTATATAGAGGTGGTGTTACCTATTTCCTGAAACTATAGCGGAATAGATTTAGGCGGTGGTTTAATATCCAAATAATCTAATCCTAGGCCTAATAGGCCTAGGGTTCAGTTTGGACTCGTCAAGTGCCACTAGCAAGCCATATTCTCGAGAGTTGATGAGAAGAATATGGGTTGCTATGAGTGTTGATGTCTTCCCGAGTTTCGTAGTGTTGCCTCGGTTCTCGAATTTATTCATTCTCGGGTGTCACCTATATAAGATAAAGAGAATAAAGTGACTCGAGAAGGTCTTTGTGTTATTAGAGAGTTCCTTGGTTGTGCGGTGGACCGCGAATATCCTTGTTTGCGCGGTGGGCCGCGAGTATCTTTTTTTGCACGGTGGACCACGAGTGTGTAGATCATCGAGATGCAATACAAGATAATAATGACATGCAGTAATAAGATGCTACTAAAGAATATCCATTCAAGCAGAGGATGTTAGGATGATCTCTCAAATTCCTTGCCCTTAGGGTGTTTTTCAATTTGTGTCCCGAGTACATTTTCCTCGTTGAAGGCAACCCCAAGGTGATTTTCCTCATTGCAGGGTGATAGGAATTTTCCCTAGAGGGTTGGTACGTCGAAAGATTACTTTGATCGTGCTTAAAAAGATATTGTGATATGATAGTAGCATAATAATGATATCAGCAGTAATTAAATTGATCACATCTCAAAAAAAGGTTTGAGAAGTACCTTAGTCTCGAGATAAATTGATTATTCGAGAAAGTGTTACCTCGATCCTGAAAAGGTAGCAGTTAGGTAGATAAAGTCGAGATACATCTTCTCGAACATTTCGAGTAGTAGTAAGATGCTCGATTAATGGTTGCCCCTCCGAAGAGATGTATCTCTCGAAATTCCAATCTTCGAGATTGCTCCTTGCTTCGAAGAACTTGAGAGGTTATCTGTGTCGTCCCAAAACATCAATCAATTTTGCTTCTCAGTTCTCACAAGAAAATTTATTTGGTTGTGAAGACCAAACAAATCGGTCCCACTGGGCGTGCCACTTGACGAAGCATGGATCTGCACGGTATCTTAGGACAGCAAGACAGAGTCTCGGGTGTTTCCCGAGGGTAGACTCTGCGATGCTTAACTCAATAAAGGAATAGAAAGAATAGAGAGAGAGGTGATTGTGCGTGTGATGAGGTGTAAAAGATAGGTAGAAGATGTGTATTATGAGAGAGACATCATCTCTTATATAGAGGTGGTATTACTTGTTTCTTGAAATCCTAGCGAAATAGGTTTAGGCGGTGGTCAGTGACTGGGATATTTCTCCTAACTTGTATCAAATAACTCAATTCTAACTTGTCTCAATAATTTTGATTCATAAACGTACAAATCTTTAAACGAAACCAACAAAAAGAAATTGCGTGTTATTTCGTTATCTGAATTCGGTGTGACGATGGTAGGACATATATAAGAACTGTTAGAGAGCTCTCGATATGACGAATGATGGAGGGTCCTTTATCTCTAAATCATTTCGCCTTATATTTTGTCTATTTCTGAACTATAGAAAAGGTTTTGGACCTTTGGTTTTTAAATCTCACATGTCTTGTTTAATTACTACTGCAAAAAATATTCTAGTATAGGTAGCTCCTCTTTTTCATTTTTTCCGTTCTTATTCTGAATTGAAAATGTTTCGCATAAGAAAAACTCTTTGCGTCTTGAAACTGGAAAGTTAATCATAAGTTTTTTTTGTTTAGAATGACGATTGTGGAAGCAAAAACTAGTACCTTCTCTCGGTTCCAAAAAAATAATTTAAAAGTTGAATTTTGAAATTTTGTACAAAATATAATATAAACCGCAATGTGGATATTTATAAAATGGATTAAGATTTAGATGGAGGATAATTCAGTATCAAAAGTAACAACCTTGAATAAAAAGTTGAGAATTTTCTGAAAATACAAGAATAATGATTTTAGAAACAACCTAGAAACCCAAAAAGGAATTTTTGCGTCCTTCTTTTTTTAAAATAAAAATGGACATTTAATTATTATTCAATCCCATCAACAAAAACTCTAATAAAGTACTTTTACCGACTCAGGGGGAAAAAAAAAAAACCCTTTTTTTATTGAACTATTTTAGAACAATAATCCGGACTCTGTTTTTCGAGACCATGAGAGCATTATTTATTCTACCTATGCTACCAAACGTCACATGATATTGTTTTCCACCTTATTAGAAAACTCATGAATATATGCCTCCTTCGATCATTAACTTACAAACTTTCAATGTTCTAAAACATTTGTTTTTCCCTTTGTTGACACATTTGATGATCCAATGTGCTTTTAAATAATAATGGGTCCAAGAGAGGAAGCCATGAGGATAAAGTTAGATACTACAAGTCTTGGCTACCAATATTCCTACAATGATGGCATATGCATGTTAGAGCCGCTTTTGCTTTGCATAAAATAGAATGGAAAGAGCAAATGGAGGGGCTCTCATGTAGTCATGTGCTTGAGTATGCTGACAAAGTGACAAACTTATGGCCTATAAGGGCCAAATACAATAATTTACTACAAAATCAACATCATTATTGATCATCATTCCTCTGCCCATGAATATGTCACTTCATAGAAAGCTTTCACTGGTCATCATTCCTCTATATGGGTGTCAACAGAAAATTCTGTAAGTAATCTATGTCCTTCACTGGTCATGGTGGTCCTAAAAAATTAATCTACTTTGGTACAATCAACCGCTTGGTTAAATTATCAAACTCCGTGCTTTTACAGGAGGTGGAGGGCTACAAAAGATTATAAGAAATGGACTTACTTTCTTTTTTTTCCCTTGAATGGTCTACATGACTAACTACAAAAATTCATGCCAATGTAAGCATCACTTTTATCAGTATTTTGAGAATCCATTATTCCGAGCCCTACCAAGGAGTTGTTCTATACCTCCATTGTAGAGACCTAGATTTTTGGCTAATGCAAAGCCAGCATACATACCGTCCACAGCTGCACTTACTATACCACCTGCATAGCCTGCCCCTTCCCCAATGGGATACAGCCCCTTCAATGATGTACTCTCGTATGTGTCCCCACTACGCGTGATCTGGACAGGCGAGCTCGTTCTTGTCTGGCCCGCAGAGAAAAGAACAGATTAAGAAGAGAAAATTTGAGGAACTGGAGTGAAAATGAGAACAAGCCAAGAAACTGACTATACCTCCACTCCATGAAGAAGGGCAATATTGGAGACAAATCCTGGTAGCTGAAAATTAAGAAGAACAATAGTTATGTTAAACCACAGAAAAGAATATGCAGATATCTTAACCAGTCACCATGTAAGAAAAGGAGAAAGTAAAGAGACTAAAAAGAATAGAAGATATTAGCTGGTAAGATTGTACACCTCTTTCTCAAAAGTCAAAAGTGAATGTTGCAAAGCCTGTGTGATGTTTGGAGGAAATAGTTCATGGAGATTAGCTGCTTTAACTCCTAATCGATAACTGGATGATGGTAGAGATCTTACTGCAATGAAGATAAAGAACAAGAAAATATAGTGATTATAGAGTCAAGTATCTCATCAGAGAGACAATTAGACTGAAGATGTATGTACCTGACAATGTGCCCTCCAAAAAATCAGTCACCGTCTGAACAGGCACAACAAATTTTCCGCCACCCATTAAGGCTGCTCTTCTCTCAAATTCCCTCTGCACAAGTGATACAACAGTGAAAACATGAAGAAACAAACATTTTCTTCTTTTTTTTTTTTCCCACGGAGACGGGGAAGCACATGATTACCTGAAAGTCAACACCAGCAAGCGGTCCTTCAAAATTGAAAGCCTCAAAATCACTTGATGATACAGAAACCACAAGGGCAGCATTTGCCCACCTAGATGAACGTCGAGAAAAAGACATTCCATTGATACAAAGTTCTGATGGATCTGTACTGGTCAGAACCACCTGCAATAAACTAGCAAGATTAATCTATGAACTTGATAAGGATGATCCAAGTGTAGGCCACTGGAAATAAGATATTTATGTAGATAAACTATTATCAATCAGCCACTGCAGTTTGCATCTTTGTGTCTAATTACAATCTAGCCCTAATGTCCATATCTATCAAACCATTTACAAGGCACTCAATCTATTCCAATACAAACTATTGAGGGCTATAAGAATGTAAATTCAAATACAGACGCATGTCTGTAAAAAGGTACATAAAAACATTACACATGGAAAACCTCGAATCTAATTAATGCGTGACAGCATTTGGGATATGCAAGCTGTAGATAATCAACATCAAGATAGTGAACACAGCTCTGCAGACCAACATTCCATACAATTGGAGGAGAGAGGGATTACCTGACCACCAGGACACATGCAGAAGGAATAGCAACTACGATTTGTTGGCCCGGAATCTAAAGATGTGCCTTCATGTTGATTGTTGACAAACTCAGCAACCTTGTAGTCTGCAACTGGTACCTTTCCTCTTCCACTCTGAACTTCATTGGCCAACTCGGAATACTGCAATAAAGATATACTGGTTAAATGACACTAGCAGGGGACTTTTTAGTTGCAATCTTACAGATTGTTTACAAGGAGCAACGGTACCTAATAAATTATCACAATTAATGGCGTTCAAACAACATAGCACAGAACAGGAGTTGAAGTCCACAAGGGGGTCATAGAACTTGCCAGACTAATGCTATTAATTTTCCAAATTTCTGATCAAAGGTGGTGAAATTGAATGAGGAAATAAATATCTCCGGAGCCATTGAAAGAAGCAAATATACATGTACGGCGTAATTTCCCAATGGTGTTGAATTCTAAGAGTGACGAATGAAGGAACTTAAACCTAGAGATAGGGACAGCTACCGCACTGATTTAGTTCTTATCTGATCTCTAATTCAGATTACCCAAAAGCTTCATGAGCAAGGTGCAAAAAACCCAAAAATGCAATGTAATCATAAGTGTGATATTGGAAAACGAAAGGATAATGCATGTTTCAGGTGACTTTTTGCGGTGTTAAGCATATAAACCTATATGCAAGAAAGTAACTGACATTGCTTATTTCTTCCATATACAATAAATCAAGAGCACTCTACCCAATCACACACCTGTATACTGTTGATCAACTCCTGGGGATGTTCAACCCGCAGACCAACCTGTTATTTTATCAATTTTTCAGCCAACAAGACCAATTCAGTGAAAAATAAATATTAATTTGAACTCAAGACCATGGAAAGGAACCATATTTTCGAGATACTTCAACGCATAACATTTAAATACATCGACCATAGTCAACCCTCCACTTGTATACTTGTCTCATTCAATAAAGATTACATGGAAAAAAGAGGAATACACTGATCTCTATTAGACTGTACTCAGCATTTTCCTATACATATTTAAGTCATGCTGCAGTACCTAAATGTGCAAGGAATAATTGCATAATTTACAAATTTACATTTGAAAGGTTCCAGTATTCTGCTCTCCTCGAAACTCAGTAATTCCTAATGTTTAATTTGAGATTTGACAAAGTATTATTTTAAAGATTATAGGCATTACTAGCTCATCTGGAATTCCCCAAGGTGACATTCCTCATATTCCTCAAAAACTTGTCCAAGCAATAACAAAAGAGAAATCCATACAATGTCAAGAGTTCTACACACACTCCTTGGGATATTTAACTAACGACCAAATGGATAAAAGGCCAAGTGGAATCCTTAATGATTAAAACACAGAATAAAAAAGAATGAAGTAAGTGGCAATCCTTTTCATTAACCAACAAAGCCCTTACACAAATTCAACTATTATCACTGAACTGTTGACATAGACACTACTGGGGAAGAAGACAAAATTCTAAGGCAGTTTTACATGTGCAAGGCCAAACTATCTGAAGAGTGTAGACACAAGAATGAGAAACTTACCGCAAAATCTTTTCTAACCATCTCCACATCATGACAAAGTAGCATCTGGTATGTGTCACGTGCAGAATGTCCAACAGCAAGAACTACAGCATCAAATGGCAACTTCAAGCCAGTGGATGATGGATTGCTTACTGAATCAGAAACTCTGACTCCCATAACCTGAGCACCTTCCACAAGCAGATCATCTACTCTAGTCCCAAACCTGATAGTAACCTAGTTTAATGAGACAAAACAGATACAATAAGTAGATAATTTCATCTACAGACAAACGCCAAAATAAAAGATTTGACTTACGCCCAATTCTTGAAGGTAGTTTCGAAAATTGCGAAGCAGTGGAACTAATTTGTCAGTCCCTAAATGTGGCTTCCCAGAAATCAATATACTCTTTGGAGCTCCAAAATTGACTAGTGTTTCCAAGACCTTCAGTAGACATTCCATTTTTCAATTTGTTAGAATGGGTAGGATCGGACAGTAAAATTATATCAAATACATCAAAATGACCTCACAGGAGTTATCTGCTCGGTAGAAAGACACTTACTGCCAGAACACTTGAACTATTTTTCCCAATTCTTGTCACCAGCTTTCCATCACTCCAGGTACCTGCACCACCCTGTGACGCATAAGTCCTCAACAAATGAATGAAAACAAATTAACCAAGTTCAACTAGCAGAAAATTAAAATCTACGACAGTGGTCTTATGATAAAGATGGCCATAACATTGAAAAGGGCAAATAAGAATAACTCAGTATGTCACCAAAGGCCCTGAACAGTACAAAGCAGATCAGGAGATAACCTCGCCAAAGCAAAAATTGCTTTCCACTTGCAACATTCTGCGAACTACTAAAGCTCCAATATCCCGTCCCCTTTGCTCAACTGCTTGCCCCCTCTCTATCAATGTAACATCCGCACCAAATTCAGCAAGTACAAGAGAAGCAAATAATCCTGAAGGCCCACTGCCAACTACTGCAACTTTCGGTTTGCTGGTGATGGGATTCTTAAGTAATCTCCCATTTTTATTGGCCGGAACACCATCTTCTGCTGAACCTGTAATTCCAACATCCCCTCTGCAATTCTTTATGATGTTTGTTAAATCCCCAGAAACTCCAGAGTCTCCTTGCTGAGACAGATGCTCAACCAAACCAATCCTTGGCTCCAATTTTAAAATAAAGTCCAATGTACGAGGCTGCAAACTCAGAAGTTGATTGACATCCATATTAACAGTATACACAAACTTTGGTTCCTTCTGCAACTCACATAACAAATTCATTAGCTGACATTCAAAGGAATAATAAGCAGCTGAATTCCTTAATGTGCTAGAATGTCGTCAAGAAGTTCCTTTTTATGTGGCATTCAAACTACTGCTAAATTAAAACCATTTATCAGTCAAATGCATAAGTTTGCCACCAACAAAACACAACAAAAAAGGAAAACCTTCTTTGATCAAACACTAATAAAAGAAATGCAAATAATCAAACATCAATCCGATACCGAAATGGTGTTCCGATAAGTTTTATAGTATGAATCAATGAAAACTGCATTGCACTTATGAAAAGCAAGAAAACAAAGTTCACTTTCAATTTACTAACCTTTCGTGCATCAAAGGACTTCCTAACTACTGTAAAAGCTTCTGGCGGCAACATTGAAGCTACCTGCAAACATGACAAGAGCATCTATACACTTAGAGACAGTAGTTGATTGCATTTCCATAAATAAAACCCGAAAAAAAAAAAACAACTTAAGAGTGAATCCTCCTTCATTATGACAATTGTGGTTTTTTGAAAAACAAAATCAAACGGTTGCACACAATTCATATGGTAATATACTGGAGAACCAATTTGTATATGCAGTTTAGGTAAGCATAGTAATCAGGAAAAGGTACAGAACAAACCGAAAATTTGAGAGCTTTGGCAATTTGTTCGAGCAAACCATCCGAAACACCAAGAAAATCCTTTCCGGGGTCTTTCTCAACTGGGACCTCGAGCTTGAAAAGCCTCCAAATTCCCTCAAGCTTGTCTCTTTCGTTGATTTGATTGTGTTTGAGCGTTTTTAGCTTCTTTTTCTCTGATGGGTACCTCAATTTTCCAGTCCTCTTTACTCTTTTGGCAGCAGATACTAAAATTATACGCTTGGAAGAAAATAATGAATGATTACCATTATTGCGTGAAATTCTGGGCGTGGGGCTGTAAAAGGAGATGTGAAGAGGAGCTATGAGTTTAGAGGAAGCCATTGCTGTACTTCGGAGTTGAACCTTGGAAGAGCGGATAATGATGCTGCTCGAATTTCCGATTTAGAGCTTAGCTTCACTTGTTTTGTTTGTATTGATTTTTTTTTTAAAATTTTATTTTACATTTCATCTAGTTTTTTTCTTGGGGAAAAAAAAAAGAAAACATTTTTCTCCATCATTTCTACCTCCTTGGCTCCCTTCAATAAATGGCACAATTATGTTTTAAATAAATCTAATGATCAACTAAAATTGGTCGTTAGAATATCAAAAGAAATTCATTTGTAAATAAAATTCATCACTGTTATACTGATATTAATCATTGTAGTACATTTTTATCGTCTAAAAAATATAGTTTTGCATTTATTATTTTATTTTAGTTAAACTAAAATTATAATATTTCTCCCTCTAACAAAAATTATGATTTGATTTTTCATATTTTTCTTACAAATTATAACCTTCATAATCATATTTACTCTTGTTGCATGATGATTCTTGCACCACTATCTTTTCTCTCCACACTGAATCATTGGTAAATTTGGAAATGTCATACATAAAAATACTCAAAGGAATACATGTGATTCTCTACCAATGAATATTACACCACTATCTTTTCTGTTGAAGACTCAACCATGATAAACTCATTTTGCAACTTGTTGACGTCATCGCGCATGTTGGTGACGTCAGCAGTACTTGGCGGCAAATGGGCGGGTTAAAAGATCTAGTAATTAAAATTTTTTTTATTTTATATCAATTCGTAAAAATGTAAATGTGGAAAATTCCCCTCTTAGCAGTGGGTTTAGTGTGAACATGATGAAAACTTAAATGAACAGTTAACTGGAACAAAAAAATTATACGAATTACAATGTTTGACACCTAATTATTTTATTCCACCTTTAATAGAGGATAAAAATTATGTTCTTTATCGTGTTTTTACTTCACTGGCAAGTGAACGTGATGTGAATAATAATCATATTGAAAAATTAGTAAAAAAAATATATTATAGTCAAAAGTATTTATAAGACAAGACGAAGAAACAACTGAGTGATAAATGACATTTTCAATATGACGAAAGTAGATTTCAGTCTTGAATCTTTGGTTATACAACAAGTCAAAGAAGAGTGTAAGCTACTAAGGATGGAACCATATAGAGAATGGTTTTCCTCAAATTTTTCCTTAAAAGCATAGATGTTTATTTCTAATGAATTTTACAAGTTTTTATCATATCATGATATTTTATTTCTTTTTGTTCTATAGTTTATATCATCTTATGTTGAACCTCACATATGTGTGTTAGAAAATGATTTTAAGGTTTTGAATGGAAACATAATAAAAGGAGTATTTCCTCCACAATAACCTTTTAAGATAGAAAAGGAAAACAATATTTTAATTTTTTTTTTTCTGTATTTTCAAAATTATTTGAAGATAATACTTTAACCGTAACTGTTAAACAAATAAACAAAATTATAGAGAAGAATAATTTATACAAGTATCTATTTGAATATTTTAAGAGAACAAGTCATATATATACAAAATAGGTTAGACAAGGTAATACACGTGATAAAAAGTAATGGGTGTACTAGTTCTATTAGTTCTTAAGTCCAACAGAAATTATTGCTACTCCAACTCTTCAACCACTCCTGAAATCAGAAATTCAGAATTAGAAAAACAAAAAGATGAAGGAAGTCCTAAGAATCCAGCTTGATAAATTCTACTACATCACTAGAAAGTATATCCCCTCAAACTGGAGCAGGAGAAAATCGGACAGTTTAGCTTGACATGAAAATCATATAGGATCTGAGGGTCATTAATATCACTGCCACGAAGAGTAATATTAGCACACCTTCTTAGGTCACCTTTAAGTATGAAGAACATCCTCAATATCAGTGGAAAAAAAAAAAAGAATGATTAACCTAGGTGCTTCAAGTATGAAGAACTTATTATGTGGATCAACAATTATCCTCTCAAGTTCACTTCCACACCCTTCGAACTATATTGTCAAAAGCATGCGAAAGCTAACTTTTATCCAACTCCACCCCAATGGAATTGTCCAAAGCCATTAAAAAATCTGAGTTTATTGAACACCAAGGTCCGATGGGATTCTAAAACCTTATGATCCTCGTCTGCTGTTTCCATCTCGCAACTCGCATAATGAATACAACTCCACAAAAGCTTATGTTAGCTTGACAGAACACTTTTTTCTGTTAGTTTCTTTAACCGTTAGATATTAACAAGATATTACAGATGAAGAAAATCTGGAAGCATTAGTTAGAATCACCCGATCTTCATGGCGTGGTCCGAAATCACCAATCACTTCCAGATCATTAGCTGTCCCTCATTGAGGAGTTTCGACAAACAATTCGGATGAAAAAAAATTAAAGGGATTTGGTTGGACTACGTTTCGAATTCGTACAAGGTTTAATGGTTTTAGGAGAAATTTAGAAACAGAACCAAAATTATTTTGATCTTTCATATTGCGCCCACAAATGTTAATATTAATTGTTTCACCATAATTGGTATGTAAACTTCACATATAAGTTATAACTAACATGGAGTAGAAAGTCTGGAGCAACATGGTGATACGCTACATAATTACTTCTTTTGCTCCTTGTTATAGAGCATTTTGATTTATCTTAAATTTGATTTATCGTGCTTTTTCAAATGAAAATAAAATCATAAAAATATTTAATAATAATTAGAATCACATATATTTTAAGGGTTTATTTTAATTGAAAAAACACAATAAATGAAATTAATTTAGAAAAAATCAAATAAAAGATTTGAAAAGGACCGGAGTGGTGTTTAGCACAAAAATTTCAAAAGGATAAGTCAAACAATTAGCAAGAGACTGATTAGATTATAACATTAAATGCATCAATTCTTTGTTATCGTGTTCTTGTTCATTCATTTTATATATTTTATATAGTATATGTAGCCTTTTCTTCTCCCCAAGTTACATCAAATTCAAGTGTACATGTACATCAATCGCACAAATCTACGAAAATTTTTTCACTAATAATTTAATAGGCAACCCTTCAATTCAAGGTCGACGGAAGTCATTAAAATCGAACTCAAAAACAGGTTTTCAGCCCGACTCACTGTATCACGATGCGTCCAACTAACTTAGCTATCCTTATTATGAACATAAATTGAAGTTTAAGGACTCCTTCAAAATTTTCTCAAGACTACATACCAAAACTGTTTGCAATCCAAAAGTTGGGGCCTATTTAGGAGAATTAAAGAATATGTGAATAAAGTACCATCTGTATCCATTGGATGAGCGCAAACAAAGGGTTACTTCTTGTTCTCAATCGAAAATAAATATGTGAATTATACAAAATTTTCTAACCTATAAATAAGGCTTCCTTTTCCATGTTAATCACAGAAAAGAAATCAAGAATCGATTTTCGCCAATACAGAAAAAAAAAAAAATTCCCCCATAACAATAAATTCCAAAAATAAAAAATGGCAAGACCGTGTTTGGTGTCGTTATTAATCACATCATTGGCGGTTACGGTCATGGTTCTGGCTCTTGTGGATGCAGATTGCATGGATGATTGCCTTGTAGGATGTTCAGCTGTTGGTGCATCACAAATGAAGCAATGCATTGATGATTGCCAAAAGAAATGTGGTGATACTGGCAAAACTGAAATCTTTGAAAGTAATAAAATGCGCACGGTAGATGGCAATTCCGGAGTTGCGGAACCTCAAGGCATCAAGGAACACGTTAAATGTTACTTTATAAAATGCGCCAAATATAAATTAGGTAAATTGATTTTGTTTTGCATTTGTTGTTTCAATAAACGACCAAAAATATGTGTATACGTAAATGCAGCGTTACATAAAATCACTTCGTTAATTAACATTAAAGTTTTACGCATTTTTGGATATCATGCTTTCTGAAATTTGTAGTCTTCCTCTCTCGCTGGTTTGAACAATTAGCATTTCCATTTTGTTACAATTAATTACTGACATTTGATTCGTATTTCTTTTGAAACAGATAAGTTGAAATATGTCGAATGCCGCAGTAAATGTTAAATCCAAGATCATAATGAGATCATCGATCATTCAATTAATGCTGAGAAGGGGATGTACTACTGATGATCGAGTAGCATGGATCTAATTCTAGCTATATATGCTAGAGTATATATGTTAGCCTTTATTGGCTTGTAATCAAGGGTGAAAAGATCATTATGCCCACACCATATTGTGATTTGTCTCAAGCTAATGCTAAAATGCGCAATTTTAGTTTGAACAAGACAATCGGACATGGATCTGGTTAGCCTTTGAATGATATTTTTCTTTAAAAAAGTTTATCAATAATCTCACTTTTTCCCCTTACAGTTACCGCGGTTTACTCGCTTATTTAGTTTTGGTATTGTTGTGAAATGTGCACTTCTATTATTTTTTCGTCTATTTTTTTTAATAATACTGTACATAAGAAAACATGGCTCTTCTTGATACCCGAATTCCTAAAGTGCTGCTACGCAAGAAGGGAATGAAAAAAAAAAGAACAAAATAATACAAACAGTCAAACATATAGTTCATACATCGACTTTTTTTTATTTTTTTATTTTTTACATTATTGCGGTAAAAAGTACTATAATATTCTGTTTTAAGCAAATGTAATGAGTTCAAGCAAAATGACTTTTTATTGCAACCTACTCGCTTGTTTGAAACCAAAACCAAAGGTAAACAATAAGTGCTTGAACACAAATTAATCAATTAAGTCGAATTGGACTGTTGGAAATGTATAAAAAATAGTAGATACAGTTTATTTATATATATATATATATATATATATGTAATACTCCTTCCGTCCCATAATTATTGTCCAGTTTGGATTTTCACTTTGAGAACAAATTGAACTAAAAATAAAAACCCAAACTGGACAATAATTATCGGACAGAGGGAGTATTTGTTTTTTTTTTAACCTTTAAAATGTAAAGCAAGACTGTAATGTTGATCATGTAATGAGTCATGATTTTTTTTCCCCTGAATAAAATCTCCGGATATGATTCTTAGCTAAGTCTCTCTCTCAAGTAGACTAATTAACTAAGGGTCTTCTTACACATGCTAGCAAGTTACGAGATAGAGGAGAACCTAATTAATGGTCCGTTTGTCAGTTTCTTTTTTTCGAAAATAACTTAATGTTCAAAACTAATAGCCAAAGTAACCTAAATTAAAATAATTTTCCTTTAGTAATATCTAACATGACTCCAAATTAAATAAATATTTTAAAGAATGTTATTAAGATCGGCAACAATCAGCCCAATTCTAATTGCAACACCTGGGCATAATTGGGTTGAGAGGCAAAAAAATAATAATGGTAGTTGGAGCATTGGAGAAACTGCAAGTTAACAGTTTGACACTGTGATTACTTCTCTCATTGTTTGAATTGATTCGTGGAATTTACACCATGGAAATTGAACAAACATTAATCTCACTCAATGAGGAGGAAAGAACCAAAAACTTTTATTTGAATATTTAAAACTTAAAATAAGAAAAATAAATAAAATAGAATAGTGGGAGGAAGACAATATGGGTGTTGATGGTGGTGCTAAAATTTTTAATTTATAAAATCTAGGCGGCAATTCAAAAAGCTACTTGAAGAAGGAACAAAAAAAATCCCTAAGTTATGTTTTCGGGTTTGATAGACATTTCATTTCATTTAACGGGACAAAATTGTGACTGAAGACTTTTTTTTTGTCAGATTCGAATGAAGTTAGTCCTTTTTAAAAGAGCAACCAATGCATAAGTATGGTTCTCCCCCAAAAAAAAAGAGAGAGAGGAACCAAACTATATATGGAATATTTTATTGATTTATTCCCTCCGGTCCTTAATATAAGGCATTTTGATTTTTTCTAATTTTAACATAATATGCATTTTTAATTGACAAAAAACCTTAAAAATATTTCATAACAATCAAGAGAATACAACGAATATGAAAATATATTTTTAAATTTTTTTCGTCAATTCAAAATGAGTATTAGGTGAAACATAGGACAAAATCAAAATGTCTTATATTAAGAACCGGGGGTTTGATTTTGATTTTGATTTTGATTTTTTTTTACGATCACGTTAAAGGTGAAAATTTTACCACCATAGTAAAAGCCTGATAAGGTACGTCAATCAATTTCAATCTGTATATTTTCCTAATAAATGTCATATCATACGCCATTAATTCCTAATAAATGGTGAGTCTTACGTAATCTTCACGATTTCACCCACATAAATAACTAAGTCTTCTGGGGATGTTGCTTTCTTCTCCATATCCTCAAACTTAAAAAAGCAAATTCAACGAGAGATTTTTCCCTAGCAGAGAAAAGAAAAAAAAAAAGAATTGAAGTACTTTTCAAAAAATGGCAACAAGACCGTGTTTGGCATCGGTATTAATCGCATCTTTGGCTCTGTTCATTTTTGTTGCTTTTGTGGATGCAGATTGTTTAAGTGATTGTCTTGTGGGATGCGCCGATGCTCCTCCACCTGTACTGAATCTCTGTATTAGACAGTGCAACAGGGAATGTGGATGTGGTATTAATGGACAAACTGGATTTGATTCTTCAAGCTTCAAAGACAAAGCTCGCTGTTTTTTCCTTAATAAATGCATCCAATGTCGTTCAGGTAATCTGCTTTTGTTTTTTGATGTTCTCTAGGTATTTTTTTTCTTTTTCGAGAGCTTACTTGTATAATTGTGTTGATTTAGCATTTCAGTTCACTTCGATCTCTCTTGTTTTTCAAAGAAATTTTGAAATCGATTCTTATTTCAAGACTTTAAAAAAAATGTTTTTCTTTCCGTCGTCCGAAGTTTTATTTCCGTGCCATTAAATTAATATGCTAAAAACGAAATGATTGTCCGGTTTAATTTTTCATTATAAGTACAAATCGTGTTGAAAGTAAAGATTCAAATATGCAACTGTCATTTTAGAACAGAAGGAGTATTTGCTATAAAAATAAAAAATGAAAAAAACAAACATTCTCACTTCCCCAATTATTGGTTTCGATTCAACTCAACTTTGAAGAATAGACCTGGTTGTCTTGGGTTAGTAACATCTTGTATTTACTTAATTACTAACATTTGATGCAATATATGTTTTGGTTTAAACAGATAAGAAGAAATTGGCGGATTGCGTGAGTAAATGTTAACTCCCGGATTCATCGTTCAAATGCAGAGAAGGGTGTGCGCAGTATGGGTTTTATTCTAGTTACTGCTAAAATGACATTTTTAGTTTGAAACAGAATGTACCCACACATGGGATCTCATTAGGCATTTGAATGAAGCAATATAATAGTCGCTCTATCTTATATTCGTACACTACATTGAACCCAAATTTAATTTACGTATTCTTTGTTAGATTATCCTTGATTGAAACTAGATTATTTCCCGGAGCATAGTCTTTTGAGTGTTTTTTTTTTTTTTTTTTGCGTGTCTGCTATCAACAACAATTTTTAATTATGCTTCTTTTGCACTAATTAAAATAGCTTCGATTAGAAATTTATGGTCTCCTATGAAAATTTTCAGGAGACAAAAGACCATAACTCATTATTAAAAATTTTCTGGAAACATTTGAGTGATATATTCGTGATAAAAAAAAAAACCTAAGAAATAAGAATAGATTGTTTAATTACCATCTGTAAACTGGATGATCACAAATACTGGTTAGTAGAATTATGTTAGTTAGTACTATTCAACAAAATTAATTAGGGCCATGGACAATGCATCTGATTAATATAATTACATTATTCTTTTCTTTTTTTTTTAGCAACCAAAAGCATATAAGTTGTTCAGTCACATTACTTCCATAACAAATGTCAGATCAATTATACGCCATTTGTCAACATTATATGTGAATCTTGGTTGTTTACTTTTCTCCAAATCCTCAAAGCTCCATGATAATATTAATATTAGTATGATATTTGTGGTGGTTTATGTGTTGTTTTGAATATTATCTATGCTAATATTAGTGTTTTGATTCTTAATTTGATCATAGGAAGGATTTGGAACAAAAAGAAGAAAAGTGTTGATTTTGAAGAGATTTTGAAGGTTTTATTGAATCAAGTTTCAAGTTAGAGAAGAAGTGGTTGATTCCCGTGTGGGCACACAAAATCCATGCCAAAATCAATGAGGAAGCAGGAAATTCCAGAAACGGTGTGGTATTCCCGCGTGGGCACGCTGAAACAGGGACTAAAGTGCAAAATTTCCAAAGTTTTAGGGTCAATTTGTAATTTTGGAAAACTTCAGGGATCAATTTGCAAATTCTGAAAACTTTAATTGGTCTCTGCGGATTTTGAAGAGGCTGAACGTGGGGATGCCCTAAATTTGCATATAAATAGTCTTTTCCTTATTATTAAGAAGAGAGAGGAGAAGAGGCACAACACAGTGAGAACAATTGGAGCTCGGGACAAGGATTTCTCTCCGTTTTCGTCAGTTTTAGCTCTGTAATGTCAAACATCAATTCTTGTGTTGTTGATTTCACCATGATTAGCAACTAAACCTTTTTTTCTAGTTAAAGGATTTTATTGAAGCCTTGATGTTATTCAATTGTGAAATCTAACTGTTTGCTTTTCACCAACGAATTTTGAGTATTTATTTATTCTCTTTGATGTGTATTGATGATTATTTGACATTATTTGAATAGCTGGTAGCATTCAATTCTCCTAGATAATCTAATTTATTGAACAACAAGGTTTGTTTGTTCCTTAGAAGAGACAATGCAAATAATTACTTGGTAAGTAGTTTACTTGTGTTGTGAGAATAAATAATCAATTTTTAATGAAACAAGGTTTGTTTGTTAGAAATTGAATTGGGTCTTTGCTTGTCGAAAACTGAATCCTAGGAGGTTCCAGGTAGTGTTTTTGGCTATAGAGTGATTAATGAAGGTTTCTTAGTCACTGGTAGATAAATAAAAAGACTGAATTGTTAGGAGGTTCCAACAACGAAAACTAATATATTCATCATTTGTTGAGTTAATCTTTGCATCAATGATCAGTTAGATACATCAAGGTGGAAATTATTCCTTTGACTAGAGTTGCTCTTATTATTGATTTTCCAAAAGTATCTTTTATTGTTTGCAAATTATTTTTGTTATTCATTAGTTACAAATCCAAAATCTCTCCCATTTATTTACTTTGCTTTTGATTAGAAATATTTTCATTTCCTTGCTCCCTGAGGAGACGACTCTACTCATTGCTATACTATTAAATTTGTTAGGAGTAGAATCTTTTATTTTTGTTGGTTTGACACCCACCAAATTTTGGCGCCGTTGCCGGGGAGCACGGTGAAGTGATTTATTTCTTGTTAAAAGTTTGTTTTTATTTTTATTTTTAATTTTATTTTTATTCAATTTTATGGTGCGTTCGATAATACGTAAAGATTATTGTTTGATCCCGAGATAGAAAAGACAATAAACAGAACCGAAAGGAAAAGAGGAAAAGAGATTTACTTCTTAGTGCTACACCGAATCTCAAGAGGACGATAGCCAAGAAGAAGAAGAAAAGAAGAAGTTACAAGCTCAAAAGGGGAAGAATTTGAAGAAGAAAGTATGGGTGACGAACTCGAGGGAGCTTGCGACTCCGGATGTGAACTTACGAACATTCTCGCATAACCATGCCTGCAAAATACTCCACGTTTTGAGCTAAAACCAGGTACACTTCAATTATTACCTAAATTTCGTGGTTTTGCGGTGAGGATCCTCATAAGCACTTGATGGAGTTCGATTCTATGTGCTCAACGGTAAGCTATCCAGAGTCACCGAAGAGCAAATTCAGCTACGTGCTTTTCCATTCTCTTTGGAAGACAAAGCCAAGCGCTGGTTATATGGTTTACCACTGGTTCAATCACTTCATGGAATCGATTGAAGAAGAAATTTTTGGAGAAATTCTTTCCAGACATCGTGCAGCAAATATTCGGAAAGATATCTGTGGAATCCGACAACTCCATGGAGAAACATTGTACGAATGTTGGGAAAGATTCGGAGAGTTATGTAGGAGTTGTCCTCAACATCAAATCCTGAACAGTTACTACTTCAATATTTCTATGAAGGGCTATCGAGGTGGATCGAGACAAGTTAGATTCAGCCAGGTGGAGGAGCTTTAATGAATAAAACACCAGACAAGCTACCGACTTGATTTCAACCATGGCTGAAACTACTCAATAGTTTAATAAAAGAGCGAAACAGCTACCAAACATGTCAATGAGGTAAGTATTTTAAATTTAGAAAATCAAATATCGATTTAACCTCTTTGGTGCGTCAAATGGTCAGAGGGCAAGTACAAACCGCCAAGGCTTGTGGCATTTGCTCAAATTTTGGGCACTTTACTGATTCATGCCCCAAGTTACAAGATGATCCCAACGAGCAAGTTAATGCTCTGGGTGGGTTTCCAGGACAAGGACAGAGGAGGTATGATCCCTATTCGAATACTTACAATCCAGGATGGAGGGATCATCCAAACTTCAGCTACAAACAATCAAACTTCCAGCAACAATCACAACCTATCATGAGAAATTCTACACCAACACCACCTCCGAATCAATCATCATCATCTACGTCAAGTATGTCTTTAGAGGAAATGGTAAGAAGTTTAGCAACTAATGTGCATGGTCTTACACAGGCTTCACAGTCTTCTCAAGCTAGCATACAGAACTTGGAGAAACAAATGTCTCAAATGGCCACCTCATTGCAAAAATTAGAGGCTAACGCAGAAAGGCTTCCTTCCCAACCAGAAATTAATCCCAAAGAAAATGTTAGTGCAATGACGCTGAGAAGTGGGAAAGAGCTTCAAGGTCCTAAGATACAAGATGGAGTATCTAAAGAAATTTCACAAGAAGTTGAGAAAGATTTAGACACCACCCCACTACCACAAAAAGAGGTAAGTTCTGAGCATGTTACATCTAAACCAGAAATAGTGATTTCTCCACCTTTTCTTGGCAGATTAGCAAAAGCGAAGAAGGAGGAAAGCGAGAAAGATATTTTGGAGATTTTTCGAAAGGTTGCAATTAATATTCCATTGTTGGATGCAATTGGTCAAATTCCAAGTTATGCAAAATTTCTTAAATCATTGTGTTCTAAGAAAAGGAAGCCTGAAGGTAAGATCTTTGTAAGTGAAAATGTTTCTTCAGTTATCCAAAGAAAGTTACCTCAAAAGTGTTCCGATCCAGGTATGTTTGCTATTTCTTGTGTGATTGGGTCGAGAATGATTAAATCAGCTATGCTTGACTTAGGAGCTTCCATAAATGTGATGTCTTTATCCCTTTTTAAGGAATTAAACATTGGGTCTCTTAAGAACACCAATGTGATAATTCAATTGGCTAATGATCTGTAATATATCCGAAGGGGTAGTTGAAGATGTTTTGGTTAAATGTGACAAACTTGTTTTTCCTGCTGATTTTTATATACTTGACATGAGTGATGAGCATGTTTCTAAATCTGAAATCCTTTTGTTGGGTCGATCATTCATGAAAACAGCTAAAACAAAAATTGATGTGGACTCTGGTACTTTTACTTTTGAATTTGATGGTGACAAAGTTACCTTCAATATGTTTGATGCTATGAAGTATCCAAATGATTTTGAATCTTTTGCTAGTGTTAGCATGATTGATACATTAGTCCAAGAGGATTTTGAGCATAATTTTGTGAATGATGAGTTGGATTTTGTTCTTAAGCATAACATGCAACAGAAGGACATTTGTTTTGAAGTGAATGAGGGAATCATAGAATCACTTATGGAACATTGTGCACTACATGAAGTACCTTCTAGGTTAGTTAACCAACGCTTTGATTTGCCGCTGAATTATGATAGAATTTTACCTTCTGTTGAGCAGGCACCGAAACTTGAATTGAAGACATTGCCAAATCATCTCAAGTATGTTTACTTGGGAGAAGATGAGACTTTGCCTGTAATCATTGCCAATGACTTAACAGAGATTCAAGAAGAGAAGTTGATGCGGGTTTTGAAGGATTACAAGACAGCCATAGGATGGACCTTGGCCGATATTAAGGGAATCAGCCCGTCAATTTGCATGCATCGCATTTTGCTAGAGCAAGATTCAAAACCAGTAAGAGATGCTCAACGCAAATTAAATCTTGCTATGAAAGAGGTAGTAATGAAAGAAATTCTTAAGTTGTTGGATTTGGGAATTATTTATGCAATATCTGATAGTCAATGGGTAAGTCCAGTTCATGTGGTACCTAAAAAGTCTGGTTTTCAATTGGTTAAAAATGATGTTAATGAGCTGGTTCCTATGAGATTGCAGACAGGTTGGCGTATGTGCATTGATTTTCGTAAGTTAAATGCAG